CACTTGATGGATTGTTTCCTCAGAGTATGCCCAGCCCATCCATCTCCATTCCTTCCTGCCTATTTCTTTCACAATCGGTTCCTGCTGAGTTGGTTCGCTCATTGCCAGAGATCTCTGTTGCTGATCTTTTCTGGCCGGCTGGCCATCTGATCTTGAGTGGTATTGAGCGAAGACAGCTGTTAATGAAGGTCTGTAGTTTGTTTGAGATGCTCTTCATGACGTGCAGTACAAGTCTCTGATCCGTATAGTAGCACTGACTTCACATTGGAGTTGAAAATCCGGATCTTATTTTTGATTCTGAGTGCTGTTGACATCCACACAGACTTGAAAGTAGTGAAAGCTTGTCTTGCTTTCCCGATGATCCTCCCTTTGATATCCTCATCAGTTCTGTCCGCCTGTAGTTGAAACAATGCTTCCCAGGTAGGTAAAGGAGGTAGTTTCTTTCAAGTTCTTTCCATTTATGCTGACTGCTGTCTGTTGTTGTTGCTGTTGTTGGTGTTGGCCAGGGATCTTCATCACCTCCGTTTTCTCTATGTTCACCTGGAGTCCTATCTTTGATGCTTCTTCTGCCAACTTGTTACTTTTCACTTGCATATCTTCCAGTTTGTGGGAAATCAGACATATGTCATCATAGGCGAAGTCCAGATCCTCCGAGGTTTTTGTGTGAGTCCATTTTATGCCTGTTTCCTCATTGCCCGCTGTTTGTCGCATTACCCAATCTACTGCAGTCAGGGAAATCATTGGCGATAGTAGGCAACCTTGTCTTACTCCCGTCTTCACTTCGAAGGATTCCGTGAGCTTCCCGTTGTGGATTACTTGGCATGCAGCGTTGTCATACAACTGTTGGATGAGATGTATAATTGTCGGCGGCAACCCGTACTAGCGAAGTAGTTCCCAAATCACCTCTCGATCGACGCTGTCGAAGGCCTTTTCAAAGTCGCTGAAGTTGAGATAGAGAGGTGACTGCCATTCCAAACTCTGTTCAATGATGATCCGTAGTGTGGCGATCTGATCAATGCATGACTTGTTTCTGCTGAATCCAGCCTGTTCCGGTCGAAGTTTTTCATCCAGTGCATGTTTGATTCTCTCCTGGTCGATGCTGCTTAGTATTTTGCTTGGGATGGACAGGACCATAATTCCGCGCCAGTTCTTGCATTGACTTAAGTCTCCTTTCTTTAGTAGTTTGAATAAGTATCCTTTCTTCCAATCTTCAGGTACTTTGCCTTCTTTCCACACCTTCTCCAGTAGTGGCGTCATCAAGTCTGCTGTTGTCTCTGGGTCCACTTTCAATGCTTCTGCTGGGATTCCATCTGGTCCTGCTGCTTTTCCAGCTTTTAGCATTTTGATTGCCTTCAGGACTTATGTTCTCGTCAGGGGGTTGATGTTCACTGGTAATTCTGCTTCCGTTGTTGGTATTGTTGGGCGCGTTGTAGGTGGCGGTCGGTTTAGTAGTCTTTTGAAGTGTTTAGCCCAGTGTTTCCTTTGTTCCACTTCTTCAGTGATTGACTTTCCATCGGCATCCTTCACTGGCTTAATTTGTGTCAAACTTTACCCCAATAGGTACCTAGTTGTTTGGTAGAGTGTCGTGAGGTCTCCTTCGCCTGCACTACAGCTTGTTCTGCTTCACTTGCCATGGCTTCATAATATTGTTTTTATGTTCCCTGGCACTCTTCTTTACTCTTTTATTCAGTGTATTGTAGCTTGCACTCAAATCCTGTTTTTGTTGCTCGTCGGTACACTGGAGAATCTTTTGTTTCACCATCCCTCTCTCTTCTATCAGTCTCCAAGTGTCCTTAGTGAGTCACTGTTTGTCCTGTCTCTTCTTTCTGCCTAGAACTTCAATGCAGGTTTGACGCCACACTGTTTTCAAGTTGTTCCAGTGCTTTCCAACGCTGACCTCTTCTCTAGTGTTGATTTGTGTCTCGGCTTTGTCCTTTATGCTTGCAGTGAAGGTGTTCTTTGTGTCCTGGTCCTTCAGTTTTTGAGTGTTGAACTTGGCTTGTGGTCTATCTGCAGCTCCTGTTTCTCTGAAAGCTTTTAGTTTGATTTGGATTGTCCACTGTACGAGGTAGTGGTCTGAGCCGACGTCTGCTCCTCTTCTTACTTTTGTGTCCAGTGGGCTGCGCCTCCACTTCCTTGAGCAGCATTGAGATGAAGTCAATTTGGTTTTTGGTTCGCCCATCTGGTGACACCCATGTGGCCTTGTGGATATCCTTGTGTTTGTATACGCTGCTACCTATCACTAGTTCATTGAGGCGCAGAAGTCGGCGAAGAGTTCTCCATTTTCATTCATCTCTCCGAGAGCTTCTTTACCCATGATGAGTTCCCTTCCTGTGTTGTCTGATCCCAGTTTGGCGTTCATGTCTCCCATTAGTATTTTAATGTCACCAACTGGAGTATTGTCCATTGTTGCCTGTAATTGTCTGTAGAATTCTTCTTTCTTTTCGAGGTCTGCGTTGTTTGTCGGTGCATAGCATTGTATAACTGACACTTTCCTTCCTTTGGAGTTGAATCTGGCGGTCATTATCCTGGGTGAGATCGCCTCCCATTGCATCAGGGCCTTCGTTGCCGTCGATGACATCATGATAGCCACGCCCTTGGTGTGCATGTAGTTATCCTGTGGGTGACCGGAGTAGATCACTGACTCTCCCATTGACAATTTGGTGATTCCACTCCCGTTCCATCTGCTTTCACATATTCCCAGTACTTGAATTCTGTATCTTTTCATTTCGTTTGCCATCTGGGCAGCTTTGCCAATCTCGTACATGGTACGGACATTCCATGTCCCCACACAGACTTTTTCTTTTGTCTCAAGGAGTTTCATCGTGCCGACGTTTCTGTAGCAACTTTGTTTACAGGTTGGAGTTGCTAGCCTCACGCCTGAGAAGGGGGTTGTTACATTAAAATATAGTTTAGAGAGAAGCGACCTTGTGTGTTGCTCCCCTTGAAACCAGGAAAACGAGGAATAAAACAATCAGAACAACAACAGCAAAGGAAAATTATTCACAACAGGAAGGGCAACAAGCGACAACAACAATAAAAAAAGCAAAACGTAGGCAGTTGTGTCAAATTCAGATACACTTAACAAAAATGATATCAAAATCATAGATCCACTGATTAGAAGTGAATTATGCTTGTACGACTATACTCACTTGAATAATAACAAAGAATAACCGGAATAACCGACTCACTTCCGATACCTCTTCATGCATTAGGGGTTATTACTGAGGTTATATTTGTCCCCATTCGTGCACAAAAGATTATCGCCCGTGATTAACTCGTTCTCACATAATCATCCAGAACTTCACAGGTTGCACCTGAGTATTGGAAGGTCAGCAGAAGCTACATTATTACACTCTGACATATGCGACTATAGTAATTAAGGCCAAAATAGCATATATGAGACGGCTCTGACCATGTTATTTCGAATTTTTTCATTCAATTAAGGAGCGGTTTGGTATAATGATTTGGAAGACTTTCTTTACGATTAATCTAAACGCCGTAGTTGCTGTCTCATATTATAGTGGCTCTTCAACGTCTGGCAACACGTGCCAACTTAAAAGACAAGGACTCAACTGAATATCTTTGTCTCAAAGGAGTGGGTCAAATATTCACTGTCATTTTCACTAGTTAATGTAAGTAAAATCAATTACTGGTAAACTTTTTACTACTGTGGCCTTGGTTGACCTTAAAGAAACTGGCGAGGGGATTTTTTTTTTTTGATTTAGAGCTTGATTTCCACACCGTATTTTCAGTACAAGTGTGGAACTTTCAGCATGGATATCGGTTGCCCAAATTCAGGCATACCATAGATATCGGGTGTGCGCCGGCAGGGGTTCGAACCCCGGACCATGTGCATGGTCGGCGAGAGTCCTAACCACTGTGCCACCGACGTGAGGTTTGTACTAGGTGGTGTTCTAAAACCGTGTTGCTGATTTAAATGGAGTTGATAGTGTTGCCTGTAATTCGTCAAGTGCGGCCGATAGCAGAGACAGTAATCATGACAATAGATGCAACTAACACATTGCGCAGACTTAAAAAGGAAAACACAAAGAGACAGATAATACAATTGTCTAAATAAGTGAATAAAAATGATCAGAGTAATAATTATGGAACAAGTGAAGGAATGGGTAGGGTGGTTTGAATGGTGAGAGAAGGGGGAATCTACAATTTTAAGGGGCGAGTTTTAGATGTATAGTCATAAATAGTATGGCGTGTCAGTTTTAAGTGGACAGACCATTTGGATGCAGCCATTGTGTTTCTGTGTGATTATCCAGACTCCGCATGAATCTTTCGGCAGACTCTGTGGTAGCAGAGCTACTGATTAGGAGTTCCAGGGGCTGGAAACTTGAGAGGAGAAGGATTGGAGGAGGACTTGGCTTCTTGCTGTTTAAGGCGCTATATTTCACAGATTGCCACAAGGAAGCCGGTAGCAACTTAATGGCAGAATACCTTTGTTTGGGTGATTCCGGCCTTTTGTAATCTTGTAGGCAGTAGTTAGGTCATTCCACATCAATTTGTTTGCCAGACATATCACATACCGAAACAGTACTATCCGCTGGATAACCCTTCAAACACAATTTACTGAGATGATACCATAATCACTTAGGTAACCCCTAAGGCTGTTATATTTCTGCTGAGGAAAATAATGAAAATAGACGCTATCGACTACTACTGACGTAATGGCAGCCCACTTGAAATTTCAGTGCTCAAGACACAAATGCAATTAGTAGTCACTAGGATCACATTTACAAGGAAACAAAGAGTAAAATCTAGATACCAGTTCTGGAAACGAAAGCTAATTTCTGGTTTATGATTTCTCAACAAAGTAGACATACTTAGATATTTGTTATCAGTCTAACATACGGATTAGTTTAAGTTCTGATGTCTTTATAATGTGTAAATAGCAATAGACTACTCCTAAAGTTTGTTTAAGCAATCCATATTTCTGTCATCACTATGTTGTGTGATAAGAGGCTATTGGCACGGATTCAAAAGTTATGAGTAAAGGTTAACAACTTCTTCAGTTACATAACCTTTCGTTCCTTTTTGACATTCACTTAGTTATCCTGCTACTGCAATTTATTTCTATCAGTAATATATGTGAAGATGACTTACAGGAAGACCCAAAAACTTTGACAGCTTTATTATAATGGCACAAAAGTATAAAGACTCGACCTTTCTTATATATCTCAATTTCGTTAAGATAATTTCAATTTGAGATTATGTATTTAAACGTGAAACGTCTCACCCTAAGTGATTAAATAAGGAATAATTATGTTATCTGAAGTGGTACCGTCAGCTAAAACTAACTTTGGGTACACTGCAGAATACCAGTGAAAGTATCCTTGAGAAAACAGTCAGATATTTGCTGGTTTTCCTTTATTAAAAAACAGGCGATAAATAACTTTCAGAACGGAACCCTGATAGGTAACTGTGTTACACTTTGATCTCCTCAGTGTATGTTGGTACTCAAGCTGCGTTTTGGATAAGAGGTTCTTCGAGCGCGTTTTAAAGAAATACACAGCCTTCCATGTCCGTTAAGCGCGGTCATTAGTCTTCTCTTCGAATAGAAGTTTTATTATCTTTAATACTTAATCTTAAGTAACGCAGTAAAGTGAGATAAGTCTATTTGAGGACATTGAGGATTACCTGAACATTTAAAAAATCAGCTGTTGTTTGTTGAAAGAGACGTGAAGTCACTTTCTGAAACATTTGCGATCGTTTTTTACAATTATAGAGATAACTTACCACCAGAAAACAGAACTGAACCAACTAACTGACTGACTGGTTTCAACATGGAACTTTGCGCCAATGTGCAGCATTTCGAGTCACCACACTTCACTTAGCATACAAAGCCAAAGAAGAAGAAAGTAAGAAGAAACGCAAAATAGGGACAGTAAACAGAGATATAAGGCAAAAAGAATAGTATTATCGAAGAACAATATAGTTTTATTGGGTAGTATAAGTCATAAGGAGTGGATGCATCCGCGCCAGCCATTGAGAACGATGATTTTGAGCCACATCACCAATTGTCTCCAGCCTTCGTTGGTGTTTACCGTCCAGAGGACCCCAACCAGTCAGGAAGTCTACACCTTCCTACGTGGCCTAAGCTAACTGTTGTGGATTTTATTGACTGATGAAGCCATGTTTTGGTTTGACCACCACTGGCTCTTTTCCAACCTGACACTATGTCAGCTAACGTTACCCGTCGAGGAAGGCGATGGCTAGACATGGATGTGTAACACATGTCCTAACCATCTCAGTCGATGTAGCTTCACAGCCTCGTCTATTGATTTCCCCTCCCTCCTTACCTAGTACTCGAAGCCTGAACTAAACATTGCTCACTTCACTATACCACTTCACACGGGAGATAGAAAGCAGACACCTATGATCAAAGATAGATCGCCTTTTCATGTCTTCCACTTTCAATGGCCATGTCTCCCTGGCAGCCATAAAGGAGGACGGAGTGGACTACTGAGCAGTACACACACCCTTTGGTCGACAACCAGCCGAATATCACGTTTACACCAGAGGTGGCGTGAACTGGCCTATGCGAAACTAGCCTTCTGTATCCGTGCTGAGATTTTGCCAGCTGTCAACCCGTTGGCACTGGCTGATGCAACTTCCCAAATAAGTGAACTGGTCAACACACTCTACCACTTTACTCCCTATTTCTGAGCTAGGAGTCTGTGTAGTCTATTCCTGTAACATCATCTTACATTCGGTGTGAGCGAGTCGCATGCCAAACATTCGAAGATTGCTGCTCCTCAAGGTTTTCAGAAGACTCTGCAGCGTCTTCACCTAGGAGATGGACTATATCATCTGCATATTCTAAGTCAACGGGATTATCCCCTGGTAAAATGTCAATCCTTGAGTCGCTGAAGTCACTTAGGGTTAAATCCATTAGTACATCTATGATGAAGTTGAGTAGAAATGGGGACTGTAGGCATCCCTGACGGATACCAACAGTTGTCACCACTTCGAGTAGAGTGCCTTGATTAGTGCAATGTATTTTCTCGTCATTCCTTTCACAGCCAAACATCTCCAGAGTACCACTCGGTCGACAAAATCGAATGCCACCTTCAGGTAGGTCAAGAAATATAACTATTGTTGGACGCCACCAGCAAGAATGCCTATGTTCTAGAATCTGTCGTAGGGTGAAGATATGATTAAAACACCCTCTGGTTCTCTCGTGTTTGTTCCTCCCATGGACCGCTTAGTCTCCGCATGATTATTGAGCCTAGAACTTTAGATACCATGTTAGGCAACCTAATCTCCCTGTGATTATCACAAGAAGACTTGTCTCCCTGCTTTTATATGGGGATAGCCAATAACTTCCATCAACCCGACGGGACTTCCTCTGATTCCCAGACGCTGCCTTATACCTTAGTTAACGCAGACAGGGAACTGTTTCCACCGTACTTAAACACTTCTGAAGTCATTCCATCAGGTCCTGCTGCTTTGCCTCATTTCAGACTAGTGACAGCCTTAGTAACCTCACTTAGGGACGCAGAACCTGTGTCTATATCGCATTCAGGGAGATGTTAGACGTTCGTTAAGTTGGGTGAGGCTGTAGGCCAATTAAACTGCTCCTCATAGTGTTCTTTCCAGCGTTCCAGTCGTCTATTCTAGCAGCTAATTATGGTGCTACTTTTCTCAGAGATTGTTTCACTTATCGCTTGTCTTTTACCACATGTTTCCCTTATAACCCCAAATAGTTGTTTGGTGTTACCTATCGCCGATGCCTTTTCCACCTCTTTCGCTTTTGTTGCCCACCACTGTTCACGGTTGCTATCAAGACTTCTTGTTAGTTTGCGTTTGAGTAGCTTTCGCTCCTCATCATAATTGGAGCTCACCGGAATCAGTCTTCTTGCGTCATTCATTTTGGATGAGGTGGTAAAAATCCAATGGATCTTACTAACTTTAGGTTTCAGGTTATTAACAGCCTTTACAGCTGTGTCTACAGCTAACTGTATGTTGTGCCCGGCTTCCTCAGGAGGAGTCCTGCTGTCGACCTCAGATACTCGTTTCGCTATTTCTTCCTTATATAAAGACTCAGAGTTGCGAACTAGTTGGAGACGTAACTGCTGCGTTGCCAACAACCATTTTTGTCCGTTTAGTCGTGAACAGAAATGTAGAAGACGATCACCGTTGAAAATTCGTCGGCGTTGAGCTCCACACGTACCACCTACATACTTCTCAGTCCAACACAACTTTCCTACTTGGGCACTGAAGTCACCTGCTAAAACAACTATATCTAAACGTTTTGCTTTATGCAGCAAATTAGACAGTTTCAGGAAAAGTCATCCATTAGTTCATCCGAACTACAGTCTGTTGGGGCGCAAGTGAAGACTAAGAAAAGACAATGGCATGTAACGCCATCCTTCCTTCTCCTGACGGATCTGTCCAGATGAACCGCTCACAGACGATTATCTATTGGGATCCACTCAAGAAATGATTTTCCTGCCCAAACACTCAATAATATCCCTGCACTGTGAGTCCTCGCAAACTAGCTGAGGAGTCTACTGACACCCTTAAAGTAATTTTTGCAGATTCACCTTGTTGGCCGGGTGAGGCTAAGTGAATGACCACACTCGGGTTTTGTATGCGTGCCTCCAAAACACAACATACATCCATGGCTCGAGATGCCAGAGTTCTTGCTAGTGATGCTTGTTGTCCGATTCGGCAGAGGTTCCCGACGATAAATACTCGTATATGAACTAAGCTAAGGTACACAGGTATAATTGTGCACAAGAGTGCAGGAGTCCAAGCTGTCACAGTTCACAAAATCACAAATAAAGGTAGAAATAAAAGAAATGCAGTAAAACCACAATAAACGGAAATGTACTGGAGAGAAGAGATGAGGATAAGTGGGGATTTCCAGAATCTGAAAGGTCATACGGAGCAAACAGATCTGCTCCATTGAGATCGATTTCGAGCCATGTCACAAAAAGCCTCCAGCCATTGACTCTTGACATCTCGAGGATCACATCAAGGCAGTTTACACTTTTCTGTATTACTCAAACCATAGCCGACGGTCAGGTGTTTGATGAATCAGTACCATGTTCGGCTTTGAAAGCTCTGAATTCTCCTGCATCCTAAACCTATATCAGATAACATTGTTCGCTCAAGCACACTTCCATCTTTTTTAGCTCCAATGCATTCCTTTTCTCTGTAATTTTATGAAATGTGGTAAATTGAGTTACCACACTTTTGTGTCGAGTTAGTCACACCTTTTTAATGGTTCTATGGTAAAAACTAACATATACAACTTTTCTGTTTCATGGAAAAGACCGTGACGTTTGACTTGGTCGCCTTTTATTCGGTGATATATATTGTTTGGTTTTAACAGTTTGAACATGAATCTACTTTTATTATTTTCTTAGACATCACTAAACACAAACTTCAGAAATATCTGAACTATTAGAACTTTTTCAAAAGCAACTGAGTGGATCATTCTGTTGATGTTCATTGTAATAATTATCTCAGTATATGCGTTATTGATGACTTCTTAAATGGTTTGACGGGGTATTCTTTCAAACGTTTTGCTGACTAACTCAGTGTGAATGTTTTTATTATTTACTGAATAACCTGTATGTTATGTTTTCTAGAATTCAGATATGTAAAGTACTTATATATCTTTTAAGGGGAATCTATGCTCATTGACTGACTGGTCTCTATTATTAAGTTAACACAGAACTCTACGAAAGTATATATTAGTCTGTGGGGACAAACCACACTTAAAATCATACTGTAACCTATGAAAATGTGTGGCAGAGAGAAGAGGAGGATTGATGATATTCAGAATATGGAAGGTGACTGAGAATGAATATATGTGCATCATTGTCAACGATTTTGAAAAATGTCAACAGGAATCTCTTACCATTGACACCTACCACCCTCTACGAAGTCTAGAATAACAGTTAGTAAGTTCATGAAATGGTGTCATTTCTGCCTTATTAATTTTCAACTTTCTGCCATCCTAATCCTGCGTTAAAATTTTCAACTAGCCACGTAAACGAGTGCATTTATATTCTAAAGCTTAAATACTGACTCATTCCTAAAGACTATCATTAGTATGTCCAGTTTCAATAGTTTAAAATTCAACGTCTTCATTAGAAGTCCATAATTACAATTTCGACATAAGTTGTAAGTTTGCACTTTCAATCGTTGATTTTTAAGTAAATATGGAATTCCAGTCATTGTTTGATTAACAAACAGTTTAAGATGAATAGTAACTTTTGATAAGGACTGCATCGTAATATCAATTTCTCATTTATGTGCAGATAACCCTTCACTTGTATATATACCCACATTATCCTATTCAAGTATTATCTTTCATTCTTTTCAGGTAATCGTTCTAAAGGTGGTAAGAACAAAGTAGATGGTACCTGTGAAAAATTACCTTTGGGTCCAGATTTAATAACAAATGAACAATCCTCTGGATCATACAGACCACATATAATCTATGACAGTTCAATTGAACAACTTCGAATTACCGAGGAGCGTATCCAAGAAGTATGTTTTAGTTGTCCCTTTCTAATTAATAGTCTTCATGTTGTGTCTAATTAAGACAATTTGACCTTAGATTTCCTATAAAAGCATACACGCGTGCAACTTTTCTATTTCTCCAGATCCTAAGTGAATTTATTACAGCTCATTTATCTGTAACTCTTTGATCTAACTTGATACACTGCATCATGACTTTTGGTGCTCCCTTGAGAACTTAGACTGATACAGTTTCGTAGGCCAAATTGTGTGACAGTGTTCTAAAAGTTCAGTAGTACAATAATTAATAGTTTCCGAGAATAATATGCTCAGTAGAGATGAAAATCACTTTATATATATATATATATCCAAAAGGGCCAAGTTAAACTTTGAGCACTACTAACTACCATTGGAGTGCAACTGCACCAATGACCTTGAAACACTCAATGAGCAAGTTAGTGAAACCTGACAAATAATGTTGTCATAATTAATAGAATATGCTAATCGAAGTGTTATTCTTTTAAATGGGAAAGATTAAGATGCGGTTTAAGCCAAGGAAAAGTTAGGGTTAAGTTAACATAACAAAGGTGACAGTAGGTTTGGTTCGAGTTAGATTACATTTAGTTTAGGGATATTTTCACGTTAGGATTAGGCTCAGGAAAGATTAGGGTTATTGTAAGGGTTAGAAAACCCAAATAGTTACTTGCATAGAATGTGGTTAAATTTCTCTGTTGATATAAGAACAAAACTTGTGCACTGTAGTATGGTATAATTCCACTGTAAGTAAAATTTATTTTGATAAAGTCTCACAGTGTTATACAGTAATATTTACTGATGACGTTTCGAGCACAATCTATTGCTCAGTAAATATTACCATATAACACTATGAAACTTTATCAAAATAAATTTTACTCTCAATGGAATTATACTCTGTTGATACTCCAACCTAAAACAGAGGGCTATTTTTATCACATGTGAGAGGAAAGTATCCTCTGTAACACTTTAATATAGTTTTTATGCAATTTTTTATGAATATTTGTATTCCATACACAAGAATGCCTCCTTCAAATCATTGGTGCGTTCGGGGTCATATGCTGATCGGTGGTTAGTGGTGCTTAAAAATTAACTTTGCCATATATCTGGCAGTATAGAGACCAGACATTCTTAATGACCACTGATTGACCTGACAATTATTCGAAAAACAGTTAAAATCCCCATTTTGACATTTAGGAAATCTGTTGATCAGTTCAGTCAATCTTCATCTAAATATATTCCTGAAGTGTTCCAGAAGTGTTGTCAGTTATTGGTTATAACTTCTATTTACTACCATTTCTCACAATAATTTCAACTCTGTGTGTGTACTACTGATCGAGTAATATGAGTAGTTGGATGTCACTCATATAAACTAAGTGATGTCAGTAGCATTTGGTGAGATGCATTTAGATTTGCTTTCTTGACTGCGATTTATGACATCAAGTAGATCATATATTGTTATCGGGATAATTTCACTTTCCAGCGGAAACTGTAGCGGAATTCCACATCCAACTGCGTAAATAACAAATCACGGAATGATTTGTAAATTTCGAATGTGACTTAGCTTTTACTTTGTGATTTTATTATCTTGTCACTGCATCGGGGCATAAATCTGCACTCTGAATTTCTCTTTTAGTATCAGTGTAAAATCATGTTTAAATGAGTTGTTTAACATGTTTAAAATTATTAAACAGACTGTTGCAGCGAAGAAAATTTTCTTTTCGACGAAGTCATCAACTAGATGATGGCGCTACATTCGTGTATTTATGATAAATGGGTGGGAAAGTTCCAGAATAATTTCCGGTCAGGGGTCAAATTAATAAAATTACAATAAGAATTAAAATACCATAGTAAACAGGGGAATGGATAAAACTCAAACAAAGTAGGATCATAATTACTGAGGAGATTGACATATTATGCAATTGGGGATTAGAAATGTGGAAATAACAAAATCAGACAGCTGCCCGGATAAAAAAATCTAACTAATGTGACGATCAAACCTATCGAAGTGAGTAAAATCAGAACGAAACCGTATATATAGTTCAGTGACAGTACATCTGGTCAATTCAGGACATTCAGCGCCATTCGAAAAATCCTTCAAAATAATATACAAGATTCTATCAAACCTATCAAAGGGAATAAAATTAAGATATATGGGCATAGCCGAGGCACTCTCTATCCAAAAGCTCAAGCTCCAACCCTTGTCCTTGCCATGGCCATAATAAACAGGTAATTCTTTTAGCAATGACCATCCCATTACCTTTCTTATCCAAACTTCATGTTTATTCATGTTATTTTAAAGTTTTCTTAACCCCTATTTACACTACCATATTTTCATATCTGAACCTCCTATCTTTTTTGTCATTTTAGTATTTCTACATATTTAATCCCTAACTGCATCAATAATTATTCGTCACATTAGTTATGATCCCATCTAGATTTTGTTATCCAAACATCTTGTCTAATTTTGTTATTCCCACATTTCCAATCCCCATTTGCATAATATGTCAATCTCCTCAGTAATTATGATCCTACTTTGTTTGAGTTTTATCCGTCCCCCTGTTGATTTTGGTATCATAACTCCTGAATGTAATTTTATTAATTTGACCCTTGACCGGAAATTATTCTGGAACTTTCCCACCCATTTATCATAAATACACGAATGTAGCGCCATCATCTAGTTGATGACTTCATCGAAAAGAAAATTTTCTTCGCTGCAACCGTCTTTTTGATAATTCCTATGTTTAATATTAATGATTTAAGTTCATCAGTTTAATAATGAGCCACAGGTAAATACTTGCATTATATTAGGAATATATTCGCTGAGTGTCTTCATATCTCCATACTTAGACTTTGATGTTGATGATAGCTTGTTATCTATTAGGCTATTAGATTATTTAACCCCGAGAAACGGAGTAAGCGGAGTGAAAATATTCAATATGTACAGTAATTAGGATATTACAGAAAGTATTGGTGATTGTGTTACAAAGTCTTATTATTACTATTATATTATTGTTTCCTTTAATTCCTAGAGGAACATAGGGCTTCAGCCGTGCGTCTCCATTGCGTTCGGTTCTCTGCTACAGTCTTCACCTGGCTCCAAGTCTGCCCACACACCTTCATCTCCTCTTCACATGACCTCCTCCAAGTCACCCTTGCACTGACGACCAACTAATTCGCCGCTTCCCTTTCGGGTTCCACTCGAGCGATGGCTTGTCTAGTGATGTCACTTGATGGTTTCCTCAGAGTATGGCCAGCCAATCCATCTCCATTTCTTCCTGCCTATTTGTTTCACAATGGGTTCCTGCTGGGTTGGTTCGCTCATTGCCAGAGATCTCTGTTGCTGATCTTTTCTGGCCGGCCATCTGATCTTGAGTAGTATTGAGCGAAGACAACTGTTAATGAAGGTCTGTAGTTTGTTTGAGATGCTCTTTATGACGCACTGGCCAAGTCTCTGATCCGTATGTTAAGTAGCACTGACTGACTTCACATTGGAGTTGAAAATCCGGATGTTATTTTTGATGCTGAGTGCTGTTGACCTCCACACAGACTTGAGAGTAGTGAAAGCTTGTCTTGCTTTCCCGATTCTTGCTTTGATATCCTCGTCAGTTCCGCCTGTAGTTGAAACGATGCTTTCCAGGTAGGTGAAGGAGGTTGTTTCTTTCAGGTTCCTTCCATTTATGCTGATTGTTGTCTGTTGTTGCTGTTGGTGGTGTTGCCCGGGAATCTTCATCACCTCTGTTTTCTCCATGTTCACCTGAAGTCTTATCTTCTCTGGATGCTTCTTCTGCCAACTTATTGCTTTTCGCTTGCATATCTTCCAGTTCGTGGGAAATCAGACATATATCATCGGCGAAGTCCGGATCCTCCAAGTATTTTGTGTGAGTCCATTTTATGCCTGTTTCCTCATTGCCCGCCGTCTGTTGCATTATCCAATCTACTGCAATCAGGAAAATCATTGGTGATAGTAGGCAGCCAGCTTGTCTTACTCCTGTCCTCACTTCGGAGGATTCCGTGAGTTTCCCGTTGTGGATTACTTGGCATGCAGTATTGTCGTACAGCTGTTGGATGAGATGTGTAATTGTCGGTGGCACTCCGTAGTAGCAAAGTAGTTGCCAAAGGACCTCTCGATCGACGCTGTTGAAGGCCTTTTCAAAGTCGATGAAGTTGAGATAGAGAGGTGACTGCCATTCCAAGCTTTGTTCAATGATGATCCGTCTTATTATGAAATATATATATGATTAAAAGTGTCAAAAGGCAAAGAATACTCAATAATATGCAACTTAAGCTAGCTTTATTTTCACACAGTGCAGATAACAGTAATTCAGCCTCAATTTATATCTTAAATTCTGTCAGTTCTCTGAAACTTTTCAAATATTTTCAGTTTCAAATAATAATTTCTTTTTTTTTAAAATTCCGGCCTATAATTTCTACTGGCGGATGGCCTACTGTACATTTTATAAGTTGACCTTTTTTCGTGAGAGGGATGTTGAAGCGATTAGCCATATTTAAGTATTGATTCTTGGCGCTTCAGTTGGGAAGATTTATTCACCATTCGACAGATGTTTCGTCTCACTCTCGAACTCTTCACAAGTACAGATAACCCCACAGAAGACTTAAAGACGAATCTTCAGGCTATCAGGCGAACATATGACCATCAGCCATTATGTCAGTCACAATAAATTGCATAACTACACCGAAATTCATTTTCTTGGTTTTATGTGGTGTAAACTAAACGGTGAAGTGGTTAACTTTTGAATGAAATCACAGTAGTTTGAAGAAAATGTTTTTATTAAAGAGAAGTCCCCACGATTTTCTGCTTGTCTTAATTCTGTCTCACAAAAAGTTAAAATTTGAGTAACCTTTTATATTCGACTAAGCTGGACTACAAAGAAATGTTAATTTCGAATTGTTCACATAGAAGTGTTCAAATTTCATTGTTTAATTCTTCACTGTAAGGACGACTGAGGCTAGTGGAACAGCCTCACCCTTAAAAGAGGAAACACCAAATACCGGTCAAACAACGGATATGAATATACTGGAACATATTAGGAGGAACATGAAGTCTGGAAGCGAGGCAATGTGTCTGATTATAATAACAACAAGTACAGATTTTAGGCGGGCAGATTAAAACTTCAGACTTAATGTTCAATCATTTATGTTTCATTTGTCTACGTTTTTCAATAGCTGATCCATTAAATTTAAGTGCCCCAGAAGAAAGAAACATGGTTATATCACAATTATAAAGTATTCATATCAGTTTCACAAAGGTTACAGCAACATTGTTTAAAATTACCGCGTAATCATAAGCAATTGAACAACTAAAAATCTGAATAAATTAATTGTAGACGTTAAGTTATTAACATTATTTATCGAGTTAGACCACGTATTGGTACCAGTTAGAGAACCGCTGTATACCAGATAGAAGTACTGGACAGCTGTTTCATCCTAGTTTGGGACTCATTGGCAGCATAAACTCACTACCAGGGTCTCCAACGCAGAGCCTTCCAGTTACAAGGCAAGCTCGTATACTCTTCAGCCAGTGGAACCCGATTCATTGACCAGCCCATAAATTCTAACAATTCGTGGTTTTTAGCGTGACCACCGACCATTGTGATCAGTGGGAACTCCATCGTCACTCCCAACTGGATGAGCTCCACTGGTTATGACTTCTCACGAGAACTCTAGGAAACTCCTTCCTGTAGAGAGCCTCTAGCGAGCAACAGATAAATATCAATCCAGTGGTGTGACTCGAAAAATAAATCAAATCCTTACAAACTGACTCCTGAAAATTATTATTATTATTCTACTTAATAATAATAATAATTAAATTGTGTTATTTTAGAGACTGAAACAATTTGAAGCGAATCACCTGTCTCATGATCTATCTCAAGGATTAGATTCAATAAAAAATTTGAAAAATGTTCTGGTTAGAAAAACAATTCCGGAGAAAGACAGACCGAAACTCATGCGCAAGTAAGTATCTTTTCTCCTTCAAACATAACAGCAAGTATGGTAGTAATTTATGCAGAGGATCATACAATCTGTCTAGATTAAAATGACTCATTTAACAAACGACAGCATTAAGGTTATTATAAAGCAGACTGATAAATCTTTTTGGATATTAGAAGTCAGTGGTAACGTCTCTGACTGCAGCACTGGCTGACGCGGGTTTAAAATCTCAGAAGGGACATGAGTTCCTTCAAGGTTGCAGGTACACCTTGCTGACTGGTGAGTGCCAACTAGCACGAAACCTAGGTCCAAGACTTCCTGTGGTCGATTGCCTCCAACCACCTAATATCATCAAATCAATGTTTACCATGATGGTGAGCTACCTAGAATAGTGGCCACATTACAAACCTGAGTGACAGAATTCAGTCTGCACCAAAGAAAAGACTAGATGCATCACACTAGTTACTAATATCCAATCAAGGCATCAGTAAATGCCGAGAAACCGAATGCTTTTGATAACAGTACTAAACAGTATATACTTTCAGCCTAAAACAGGACTGAAACGGTAATATTCAAGTCTTTAGTTAAGTACATTGCCATTCAGCCATGGTGGTTGAATCCAGTGATCACCATTTGAGTCTCTACATTCCACACTCATTATTTCATACACACCCTTGGGTTAGAATTTACAGTCAGATTCTGCTTTCCACGATAAATCACCCTATATTGAATAAATTTATGCCATTTTAAATATTAACGAGTAGTGTGCAAATACATAAGCGATTCAAACGCTAAATTTAATGCTTTATGAAATTCCTTCACTCTTGAAAACACACCATGAAGTATCCAATAGAATTTATGCTCTCTTAAATCCCTCTTTGGGTTACATTCGTTATTCCCGTCTTAGGTAAATAAATAATACTAATATAACTTATATCAAGCCTTTCATTTAAGAGAGTTAATAAAGCTAAAATGAACTGAATTTTCAACGTAGAACCCTGTACGCGAGTGCAGAAGTTCAATATCTCAGATTTCATAAAAGTAAACATAAAGATTAGAAAAAGAGGAAATGTAAGGAAACTGCAATTAGACGAAATCTTACCGGAAGACAGAGTAACTAAATAGGGATTGGTGAAGCTGGTAGATCACTCGAGGTGAATAAATCTGCGCCTCTGAGAGCAGTTTGGGTCAGTATCATCAATAGTCTGCAGCCAATGGCTAACGGCGTCTTGAGGATCTTAGCCAGGCGGTCTACACCTCAGGCAAATCACGATAGTTCAGTAAGGCATAAATATTGGTGAAGATTTCAGTAAAGTCAACAGATTTGCAAAAACAGGTTGACAAGTATGAATAGTTTCAGGTTTCATCACGGACTAATATCAGCTGGAAAACTACTGAAAACGAGGGAGTAATGGGCAGCTGTTTTGTCCTGGTCTGGGACATTATCATTATTATTCCCTTGAGTTCCAAGTGGAACGTAGGACTTTAACAGTACATCTCCGCTTCGTTCTACTCTCTGCTGCCCTCTTCAGCTGGCCCCACAATTACCCATAATCTCTCGTTTCCTCCTCTCTACATGATCTCCTCCAAGTCACCTTCCAACGACCCACTCGTCGCTTCCCACTTGGATTCCACTCGAGGGCCGGGTGCGCGTGTCATTCAACGGTTTCCTTAAAGTATGCCTGATCCATTTCCATTTTCTCTTACCTATTTGTTTAGCAATCGGCTCTTGGTTGGTTTATTCCAAGAGAGTTTCTTGTTGCTAATTCTTCTTGGCTGACCTTCAGTATTGAGAGAAGACAGCAACCTCACCTAGTTTACTAGTTCGCTGGTTTTCTAGCCGATCCCAAGCCCGGTTAAGAAGGGAGGGTTGGCCGTGGGGCTAGCGACTCTACCCCACAAAGCTAATCAAACCGCTACAGAAACTTCAGCGTACAATAAAAATATTAAATTTTAATAATGAATAATGCTTATTATCTCAGTGGTATTTAGGAAAACCAAAGTCAACTGTATCCACTTCATCCAAGTATTGGTTTTTAGGAATTTGACTAACTGGTTACAGGATTTCATCATGAACTGACGTCGGTTAGAGAACCATTGGAAAACCTGTAAGGAGTGCTGGACAGCTGTTTCGTAATGGGATGCTCACTAGCGACTGGCTCTATTCAGGTAGGTAGTTACCTGGAGTTCTAGTGGGAAGTCGTGACCAGTAGGGTCCAGAAGGTTGGGCGTGAAGGCAAATACTCGCCAAAGACATTGGCTAGTGGTCGCGCTATGTTGTGCATCCATATAAGTTGACTCTCTAAATAGCGCAAATGCAGTTTCATATCCTGTTATCTGTCTTTTCCAAACTTCTGGTTGAAGGGTGTAAAAATAATAAATTGAACAAATAAACATGCTGTTATTCTACTGGTCACCAAATATGAACAGAATAATCGGATATGACTGGTCTGAAGATGTTGGTTTTGTCGTCTTCTCCAAGCTATAGGGTCCTACTGTCCTTTTAGACGACATCTTCCGAGGTTGCTTCACTTTTAAGTAAGCTCATGGAATTCCCCATGAATGAAATAACACTCTTCTCTCTTTTTGAAAAACGCCTTTATACACAATGTAGAATCTTCAGTGAGTTTTTATTCCAAGGTATATACTCTATATACAGAATCTTTAAGTAACACAATAATCGATAATATACCATTTGAAGTAACACTGCTTTGTCCGCACTATGTATTCTTCAGTTCTGCACACAGTTTTCCCTCCAATTCCTTCAGGAAATTCATAGCAGTATGTTGCAACATATTTGAAAATATACCTGGGTATACATTATGATTCTTAGACATAACTGAGTGATTAAAACAGTATGAAATGGTGTAAACGCTATCCATCGATGTGGATAGATAATTTAGGTAGCCCAGAGATTTAAACAGGCCTCCACATTGAACATCTTTTCTTCTTTGTATGAATAAATATGAGCGAGCAGTTGAACGAAGTGACAGATATTCCTCGGAATGACCACACTTGAAAAATTATGGACATAATTTCAACTGGGAAGCATAAAGAATGCCAGAAAATTCCAAGAAGGCTGTTATTTAGCTCAATTTGTGCTTAACAGATATATTGATACAGATTAAAATAATCGATCAGCAAAACATTATTCACACGACTGAAATGCAAAATATCACGTCAGCTGGGCTATCATTATCAGTACGGGTGGACACAATCATAAAAATATTTCCAGAGAATATCAGTTATAGTCAATACAGAAACAGGAACTGTACGTACTTGTTATGAAAACAAAAGTCACAGTTATCAAGAAAGATAATTATCCCATTTGTGGAAAATTCCAAAATCCCAAATCATTTAGAAGTCGACGTCGGAGATGTTGTCTAGAAGGAGAATAAAAGTTTTTAAACTAAAGCATTCAGCTGAATAAATAGTCACCCACTTCAGTGATACATCTTCACCATTATTTCATCATAGCCTATACACAAAGATAGATTTGCTTTGATTTCATAGAATAAGGGCTGATACTACTTCATGTAACAGAAGTATACCGAATCAAGAGACATTTGGCACACCGAATAATAATCTCAAACTAAGTGATTGCATTTGAAGATTGTGTTCACTAAATTTTAACATTTTTTGATGGTGGCATGACTAAGTCATTTGTGACATATGTCAAAACATCATTTTCTTTAATGAGAAATATTCGGTGAAATAGAAATAGATTAGAGGGGAGTTAGGCTTGTTGAGGACAAAATATATTGCAAATGCAATGAAGACACTGACAACTGGTCTGAGTGCGGTGATCGACTGGCTGGTGTCCCTGATACTCACGGTAATGTGACTGGAAATCACTCAAGATTGTGCAGATATATTAATTCTTTGTCGTCCTCAAAATTGAAAATATTTTCATTGATTGTCATTCAGTCATTCGCTGTTTTTTTATTCCTTCACGTTCCCAGTGGGTGCGTCGGTGGCACAGAGGTCTGGGGTTCGATCCCCGGCCGACGCACTCCCCAACCTCGCTAAGCCAGTAATAGAACTGGCAAAGAGGAAAGGTTGGGTAACCCCATTGTGTGAAAACCAACACTACTACAGAAACTTCAAGCCTCTAGCTTAGCGAGGTAAAGGAGTGCGTTGGACGGGGATTGAACGCTGGTCCGTGTGCATGGTTGGTGAGCGTCCTAACCGCACCGCATTTGCTGTTGCTTGACTCATTTTTCCTCAATGTATCACCATTCTATTTCTACAGTCTTCGATTAACGTGAGTTTTATGAAGTGTGAAGGGCTGAAATAACCTAGTTCTATGCAAAGTTATGTGTTAATTGATTAGTCATATTACTTCAGTTAACGATTTCAGAGAGAAACTAATATGTCGTCGACTAACTTGTAGAAACGATTTAAATTTAGTGATAACTCACTAAATATTAACTTATATCATCTCAATTGATCATTTTGGCATTCGTAGCTACTTTGTAAGTTTTAAGAAATGATAACAATAACTCTAAAAATTAAGTGGCTATCTTCTAAAAATCTTTTAAAGAGTTGCAGTATTAAGGAAGGCCTGTGAAGAATCAGCACTAGCAGAACAAATCACAACAATTCCACTGGACAGTAAGAAGCTTACGTGTAGAAGACAGTCGAATTTTAACTGGCATGCAGCTGGCCTGGGTCCTCGTTTCAGTCCTGATGGAACTATTTTAAACCATAGTATTCTGGGAGATCCTGTTATTTTCTATCAAATTGCCTTGGCTCGTAATGATATTTCTTGGAACGTAAGTGATTTATTTAGTTTGAAGTTGCATTTGAGATATGATACGTCAAATTAATTAGAGTTGAATTTAAGATATGTAAGTCAGAATTGACATGACAAATGACCACTCACCGTTTTTCATCCCTTAAACTTGCATTGAGTGTATTTTACTTATCTGTTGTATTCATATATTTTCTTATTTCACGCACTACAACTCACCTCTTACAGCCTTTATTCCTCTTGATTATATATCTACAGGAAATAAATTCTTCAATTGTATCACCTTATGCTTAGAATGACTGTCCATTCTGTGCAGATTTAAGTCCCTGTCACCATTATTATTATTATTATCCACTGCTTTCGTACCAAGTGGAAATAGAGGCTCAGCAGCACATATCCACTTCACTAAGTTATCTGTCATCACTTTTAGCTGGTTCCACAATTGCCTTTAAGCAGTCTTTCCTTCTTTGCCTAATCTTTCACATGCCATTATCGCACTCACTCCCAAACAGTCACTTCTCATACCACTCGATGGTTTAGCGTGTGATTTCATTTCACTGTCTCACCAGCGCAAGTCTAATCCATTCCTGTTTCCTTGTGCATATTTGTTGTGCACTAGCTTGCTGGCTGGTTTGTCGTCAAAGTCCCTTGTTGCTTATTGTTTCTGGTCAACCATCTGGTCTTCAGTATTGAGATAAAGTGAGTGTTGATGAAAAACTTCACCATTATGTCGAGTTTCTGAAGTATATAGATGAATTAACTTGATATTAGTGTTAGAAACTCTCAGTCCCTTTCGTTGTACTAAGTTATGTAACTTGGGTCTTCATACTGATATGAGAGTTATGAACGCCCTCATTGCCTTCTTGATCATGGCCAGTTTTAGTATCCTCATTAGTACCGTCTTTATCATCATTATTCACCTTACCATTCAACCATGTCCGATTCTGTCTACATTAAGACTATCCCTAAATTAGTTTTATTTTTTCTTATACTGACTACTGTATGGTAATATTTTTAAAAAAATTTATAACCGCAGCATTGGGAGAGGAGGTTCTTGAAAAACTTTTAAAGCATAAGTATGAAGAATAAAAACTAAAACTAAATAGATAAAGACAGCTGCTATGTGAGTCCGGTTTTCGTTGCACTAAATAAACCTTAAGAATTCAATCTATTGTTCCTCTAGCACAAAGCACATTTGCACCTAACAGATAATCTCTCTTGTTTTCATCTGAAGATCTCTGATATTTAGATGTTAGTTGCTGTTCTACGTAACTTCCTTGGCTCAGTATTATGGCATATCTATCGGGCCACAACACCGAGTTCAGCTTATTCAAAATAGTAATGATAATTGCAAATGATTGTTGAGTTACCCTACATTGTCATCTTTAATGGGATGTTCATCTAAGAAGCAGTGGTGTTAAACTAAACGTTAAACGCAATTAAACAGTTACTCATATTTGGAGAATTTGACCAGTATAAAATAATTATGATTTAATAAGCAGTTTAGTAATAATTTCTTAGAGAAAACTCGAAGGAAATTGAAAAATACAACTTAAGCAATCCATTGAAATAAGAATAAAACTTGGGCACTGGTTCATGTATTTTCTTTTCATATTGTGAAGCTCATATCGAATCATTGTTATAGACAAAACTCACAACTGAATACACAACGTCTTCAACGACATCAAATTCACAAGAGAAGAGGAATCCGAGAACAAAATCCCATTTTTGGATGTCTTAGTCAAGCGAACAACCACAGAAGAATTAGAAACCCAAGTTTATAGGAAATCAACTCACACAGATCAAATACTGAATTACAACAGCAACAATCCAATAACACACAAAAGGAATTGCATACAAACACTATTCAAGAGGGCCAGGACTCATTGCAGCACTCCCACCTCAAGGAAAATTGAAGAAAAATATCTCATGGACGTCTTCCAAAAGAATGGATATCCACGAAATTTCATCAAAAGACATATACCCCCAAGCCAACCTATCAAACGAAAGCCCCCAAGGAAAGCACAAAGAAAGTCGCCCTGCCATATATAAAGGATATCTCAGAAATCACTACAAGACTCTTCAAACCTTTAGGAATTGACGTCGTACACAAACCAACAAAGTCACTTCACTCAATTCTATGTCAACCAAAAGACTCAACAGCGAAAGAAGATAAAACCAACATCATCTACAAAATAAATTGTAACAACTGCGAAAAACACTACATTGGCCAAAGTGGACGTCCCCTTCATCTTCGTATCCACGAACATAAGCTAGCCGTCAAAAGACATGACATCCACTCCCTCATATCACTACATACAGACAATCACGGGCATCAATTCGACTGGGACAATGTTCAAATATTAGACAGAGGAAACAACAAGAATGCTAGAGAATTTTTAGAAGCTTGGCATTCCAGTGAATCATCAATCAATAGACACATCGAGATTGACAAAATTTATCAACCGATAAGAAAGAAACCTCACACACAAAGGGTCAAAGTTCAAGTCAAAGAAACAATCGGTTCCAATACAAGTAGCCTAGAAGGTGTGAAAACACACAAAAACAACCAATCACGTCCAAGGTCACCGGGAGAGATGATTAATAAACTCGTGGAGAAATCTAAAAGCTCACTTCCAATTGAAGTATGCGCTGAAGATGTCACCTAGTAGGGTGATGAGAGCTTCGCAAATTAACTATCCAGCTCAGAGAACACAACCACATCAAAATCATCCACCTGAGCTACAAATCTTCTCCATCATATCTAAATCATTATTATTCACTAGATGATGTTTCAAGCATAATTTATTGTCCATGGTCATACCAGAGTGCTTACACAACTCCTAAGATAAATAGATCTTTCTTGCAGCGTCATCTAGCATATAATAGTGTTACATTATTTTCTGCCGGAGGACAGATTCCACCGATTAACAAAAGTATGCTGAAACTATATTATAACTCATTGTATTTACCGTTTACTAGTGAACGCCCTAGGGAAGCTACTTAGCTGGCCGATGTGTCTTCTTCCAATGAAAGCAAAAAAAAGAATGGGGACGTGGAGTACTCAACTACGTATGAAGCTAGAAAAGCTGCCCAGGTTGCCAAAGACATGAGAAGATATGGTATAGAAGTGCTAGTAGTCTGTGAGAGTGGGTGGCATTGATATGAACTGTCCAAACTTTTAACTGGAGAGTCGATAATCTACTCCGGTTAGCAAGGCGTCAGCCACTAGCACAGTGAGGGAGTGGATGTCATGATATCAACTAAAAAAAGAAAGGCTACCCTGTCAAACTACCAAAGAAGGACAACCTAGACCACTACAAGAACTGGAGTGGAATCATGCTCTTGTTCACGCTGAGCAATATGCTAATTTGCGTCATCCTAGAGAGAATATAAAAATTCAGTGGATGAAGAACTCCACCCACCAGAAAAAGTAGATTAGCAAAGGTAATCATATGTGGATAAAATTGAAACACTGAGCATAACCACTGAACAGAGCATAGACTGGCAATCAAACCTCTACCTCAATTTCATCGACTTCGAAAAGACCTTAGACAACTTAAGACTTTGAAGCAGTTTGAAAACTACTTCAACACTATGGAGTGCAGTGCCCCAAAGTACTTATCAACTTCATTCAACAGCTATATAACAAAAGCACGAGTCAGGTGGTCCATATCGGAAAACTCAGTGAGGCGTTTGAAGTGAATACAGGCGTGAGACATGACTGTCTATTATCACCATTGATATTCCTTATTCGATGGACTGGATTATACGCCGATTGTGGGGGCGAGAAGAAAGTAATACGCTGGACCTATAAGAAGCCTCTAGAAGATCTGAATTTCTCAGATGATTTATGTTCAACGTCACACAAACTTGGAGACTTGCATGAGAAAACCAACGAACTGGCTGAAGAAACAGCGAAGAGAGGACTTCAGGTGAACACGGAGAAGACGGAGGTGATGAAGATAACCAGTGAACCGCAATAAGTAGCACCAATCACCATCAACGGGAGAAATTTGCAACATGTCACTGCCTTCACCTATCTAGGCAGTATCGTTTCAATTACAGGCAATTGGCATGGATGAAGATGTCAAAACCAGAATCAGGAAGGCAAGACAGACCTTCATCACTCTGAAATCAATCTGGAAATCTTCTGCACTCAGCATACAGATTAAAATTCCGATCTTCAACACCATTATTGAGTCAGTCAGTTCTTCTTCTTCAGAAACTTGACCAGCGGGTCATGAAAAGCATTTCTAACAGCTGGCTGTAGACTTTTATTAACAGCTGCCTTCATTAGCTCCATAATGAAGATCAAATAACCAGAAAGAATTAGTGTCAAGAAACTCTGGGAACAAACCAGACAGGAACCTGTCGCCTAACAAATATCCCGAAAGGAACAGGGATGGATTGGACACACGATGAGGAAACCATAGAGTGACACCACGCACCAGGCCATCGCTCCAGTGGGGCCGGAATGAGGAACGATGAGCTGGGCTTTGGTTCAATGGTAACATGAAGGAGATCTTGTGAGCAGGAGGTTAAAGACTATGGGCAGTCGTGAGGTCAGCAAAAGAGGACTGTAGGGGACAGGGAGAAATGCTGATGTGCCACTGAAGCTCTATGTTCCACTCGGAACCCGATGGAAAGATAGCAATAGTAATAATCCACCGTTCCAGGCTGTATATAGATGAAGGCAAACCACAAAACAAATAAGGTGCTTATTTTTTTCAATTTTCTTCTCATGTGTCATTATATTTTAAGGTACCATAGTGTTGTGGTTATATCCTATAATATATGTATGGCATCGCATTTTACTTGGCAGTTTTATTGAATACAATTCTCGTTCAGACTTTTCAGTAGCATATTATCATTAACTGAACACCATACATTTTATTCCATAATATATGACATGTTGTTTATAGAAGTGAACTAATTTACTATTTCGACTTATTTTAGATGGTTCCAAAGGAAATCCAACTACAACTTCAAGCCACAATGGCTGAAATGCAAAATCTCAATGTACCTATAGCTCTATCATGTATTCCAGAGCAAGCAAGCCCTGGTTCACATGTATCAAATGAATCAAATTTAACAGTTAATTATAGTACAATATCAAATCATCCATCTGTTGACAAAGAAAACAAGAACGCTTTGGATTCCGAAGTGAACTATTCACAAGGAAATGGGGATATGGCATCACTTGAGAATTGGCGACTTAAAGTTGAACAACAAAAGTTGATTCAACGAAAATTAGCCGGTAAACATGATATTACATGCCTTTTAATATTAGTATTATTGTTAGATATATACCAGAAAAGTTAACAGTGAGTAAAATGATCTCCAAGATGGATGTAACTCAACAGAGGTGGCTTGAAGGTTGTGTAGAGCGCTATACTGTAATTACCCAACATCTAAACTAATCGTTAATGTAACCTAAATATCAGTTTACTAACACTAGGCAAAGTCACAAAGACTGTCTATGTCTAATCAAAGCCTTTAAAATAAAAGAGATATTTATCCCAAGGTGAGTATGGAGACTGTTTGATGTTTTCCGGCCTTTGGTACTTGGTCGTGAACATTTCATCACAAGGACTCGTGACATTCTGAGTACTTCAATTTACAAGGCGAAGAAGACGATCCGATGCCTATTAAAACTAGCTCAGTATCTTAAACACTGATAATCCACTATCTGAGTTTCCATATAGTATGTTAAGGTAATGAGTTTAGCAGCTGATATATATATATATAATTGAGAAGATTTGTAGCTCAGATAGATGAATTTGGTGTAGTCGTGTTCTCTGAGTTGAATAATTTAGTCGCAAAGTTTTCATTACCTTATATCCTCAAAGCATACTCCAACTTGGAGTGAGCTTTTAAATTTCTTCACGAGTTTATTAGTCATCAGTCCTGGTGAGCTTGTACGTTATTGGTTGTTTTTGTCGAATCTACTTGTATTGGTATTGATTGCTCACGGATATTCATGGATGAACATAAACTGGCCATCAAAAGACATGATTTCCACTCCCTCATATTAATGCATGCAGTCAACCATGGATACCAATTCGCTTGGGATAATGTTCAAATATTAGACAGAGGAAACACCAAAAACCCCAGGGAATTTCGGGAAGCTTGATATTCAAATGAATTGGCAGTTAATGGATACATTGACAGAGACAAGATTTACCAATCCATAAGAAAGAAATCTCATACGCAAAAAGTTATATTTCAGGTCAAGGAAACGATCGTTACCAATACAAGCAGACTTATGGATGTGAAAACACACAAAAATAACCAATCACTTACAAGCGTGCCAGGGGAGTTAACTAATAAACTCGTAGAGAATTTCAAAAGTTCACTGCAAGATGAAGTATGCTGTGATGATGTCGCCTCATGAGGCAATGAAAGTTTCGCAAATAAACACCAACTCAGAGAACAATATTAATCATACATTATGTATATTATACTTGACTGGCTTTGTTGAACTCGTCGATGAGTTGATTCAATTGAAGATGAACTTACCAAGTGCTATATCACTCAATATCATAACTAGTAATTTCAATAAATAAATTTCATAAAGTTGAATCTAATAATTCTGATTTCATCAGTATGCTAATAATAAAATTAATTTTAAAATGTGAAATTGAGAATTCTCGCAGACAATACTGGTTATATCATCAGTATAAATGACAAGCTGTTGTCATAGAGATGTTTAAGTCTAAAAAGCCAGCTGAACATAACATACACATAAACCGATTGTTCAGGTTGATATCAGACAACTTTAGACCACAACAATGAAATTTGAGAGTTAATCATCCCTTTTGTATGTTTATTTAGCCTGTTTCACTAATGATCAGTATTTTTGAAAGTAACTAATAATTGTCTTATACAAGATTACAACTATTTTATTTAATCCTTCCTAACAATGAGTGAATACATACATGAGCTCAAGACGTAGATACAAGGCTAGAAAAGCGTGACTATTAAGTCTGTTCAACTGACGACTAGTAAGAAATTCTTGAATTAAAAACACCACATTGAAAGCCTTAGTTTGTATGATTAATTCTGTTAAGGACATACTGCACGTCTCCATTGAGTTATATTCTCCACCAACATTTCCACCTAGATCCATGTCCGCCCACATCCTTCCATCTCCTCTTCACATCACCTCCTACATGTCACCCCAACCTCTCACTGACGACCAGCTAACTCGCCACTTCCCATTCAGGTTCTACTCGACAGAGAGAGCCTGTTGTGTGATGTCACTTGATGATTCGTTTTCTCAGAGTATGGCCAATTGAATCCACCTCCAGTTCTTCCTGAATATTTGTTGTACAATTGGTTCCTGGTGGGTTAGTTCGCTCATTGCCAGAGATCCCTGTTGCTGATTGTTTCTGGCCGGCCATCTGACCTTGAGTAGTTTCGGGCAAAGACAACTGTTGACGAAGGTCTGTAGTTTGTTTGAGGTGCCCTTCGTGACGCGGCGCCGAGTCTCTGATCCATATAGTAGCACTGATTTCACATTGGAGTTGAGAATCCTCATCTTACTTTTCATTCTGAGTGCTGTTTACCTCCAAACAGACTTGAAGGAAATAAAAGCTTGTCTTGCTTTCCCGATTATCCTCGCTTTGATATCCTCTTTGGTTCCGTCGTAGTTGAAGGTAGGTAAAGGAGGTTGCTTCTTTTAGATTCCTCCCATTCATGCTGATTGTTGTCTGTTGTTGTTGCTGCTACTATTGGCCAACAATCTTTATCACCTTTGTCTTCTCAGTTTCCACCTGAAGGCCTATCTTCTCTGGATGCTTCTTCTGCCAAATTGTTGCTTTTCAATTTAATATCTACCAGTTTGTGGGAAATCAGACATATATCATCGGCGAAGTTCAGATCCTCCAAGTTGTAACAAAATGTTGTATTAAAATTCGCGATTTGCAATAATAAAATCCTAAATAAAACACTGTTTTTTTTGATTGGGCACCAGTTAGTTAGCAGTTTAATGTGTCTAGTCTTTTTTTGGTGCAAACTGAATTCTATCAGTCAAGCTTACAATGTGGTCACCGTGCTAGGTGGCTCGTCGTCATGGTTCACTTTGAATTGTTGATTTTCAATGGTTGGAGGCAATCGGCAGGAGACTTAACTAGTGTCCCATCAAAGTATTCAATACAGCCCCTCAAGAGGTCATTTGCCAGCTGTAATAGCCCAGAGGTAACATCTCTGACCGCAGTACTGGGTGAAGTGGTTTCGAACCTGACATGAGTTGCCTCAAGGTTGTAGATACGCTTTGGTGACAAGTGCCAGCTAGCACGAAACCTAGGTCCGATCACCTCCAACCATCTGATATCCACACACTGTGTTCCATGATCCTATATACAAGTGACTGATTGGTATGAGTAGTTAGGCACCGCCTCCATGAATCCACATAGTGTCTGTTACGATGAATATCATTCACGGTATGATCGTATACTATGATCTAAATAATTTCCGTTTTCCGAAGGAAACTCTTGTTAAATTTGACCTCGAACTGTGTAATTTGAAAATTTCGAATTTCAGTTTTTAAATAGAGAATTTGATTCAGTGTATTATTAATTAACAAGCCAGAATTCCACTGACTTGAACTCAACCCAGCCCTCTGAGCTGAGTCGAAATGACTTCAGCGTTAATGAGTTATGCCTCAAACAGTATTTAGATCACTTCGATGATTTGGTTAGCAAGCACTAGTAGCCAATGTAAGTGCTATGCAATTACTGATATCAAACAGTCATTAGTATATAGCACCTTGAAAGGGTTTTGTTTTAATTAGATTGTATTATTACTAGTTCTCATCATGACACAATGTGCGTCGATGGTACAGCCGTAGAATGCTCGCCAATCACGCCGCATGTGGTTCGGGGTTTGATTCCCGACCGACGAACTCCTTTACCTCGCTAAGCCAGTAATAATACTGGTGAAGAGGGAAGGTCAGGTATGATACTAGTAACTTTATCCCATAAAAAATAAATATCACTGCTATCGAAACTTCACTGCTTTAGCCTGAGGCCCTGTGTTCCACTAGGAACGTAAAGGAATAAAAAAAATAAGATTAGCCAGCTAAACCAAAGCTGTCCTTCAGAAAATGTCTAACATTGACTACTAGCGACTCTGTGATAACTATAAACTTGACATCATTTTCAAAAAGAATTTATTTGATGTATTTTCAGGTTTAATGAAAAGAAAATCAAATGACTTAGTTATGAATTCGGGTGAAAATATTTATGAAGTACAATTAGCTAAAGAGAAGATAGATCGTGTAATGCCATTGGTCAGTGACGGTAAAGGAAGTAAGTTCAACTATTTCAGCAATTATTGTCTTACTTAAATTAGTGGTAACACATTTGACATCATCACTGAATCATGCGCTTTCTATTTTCACATCATGAAGACAAACACCATGTTTACTTAAGTAGATTGACTTCATTCATTTAACATCAAGAAAAATGCAACTTCGTTTCGCTACATTTAACTTACTGATAACACTGACCAACTAAAATGACTGATTTAATTTAGAGATTACAGTCAAGCAAATTCAGTGGAACAAAGATTTCTAAGAGAGTGTTCTGTCTAACCTACTACATTAAGAAACTTAGACAATCTGGAATCACCCAAACTCTACTTTCACAATTTGTCAACTCTTGTATCTTACCTATTCTACTTTACTGCTCCCCGTTAGTCTTTCCTGGGCTACTGAAAAAGGACTATACCATCCTGAGAAGGATGTTGAAGGTAGTTAGTAGGACTAGTGGTGTGAAACTCAGTCAGCTTGTCACTACATTAGTTGAAAGGCATCTGAATACATGCGAAAAATGGTCTAAAACCATACTCTCCGACCCCCAACACCCCCTCTATTCCCAACTCTCGCCTTGTATCTCATCAAGTAGAAACAGAAATCAGTATAAAATAATCTATGCTCGTACAACCAAGTACAGGAACTCAACGATGCCATATTGGGCCCGTGTTCTAAGTGACAGAGACAATGTTAAGCGCGAAACCTATGACTTGCTTTGTTGTTAACAACATAATTTTAGGCTCTTTTATTTCTCTCTTATTTTGCATTCTATAGTGAAAACCTTCTTAAACATACTTAGTTACCTAAATTATTAACATTGGCTTCCTTTTTTGTACTTTACTGTATTCCTTCTTTTGTGTATCTACTGGTTCCGACTAAATTAGCACTATGAGTATCACAAAATTGTCCTGTCATTAACCATCATGTAATTATTAGTTTTTATGGTTGTTGTTTTTTTTGTTCGGCAATATTAACTGGCAATCTTGGTTGTGAAAGCCATTATCACCATCTTAAAATTTTGTGTCATGCAGGATTACTCACACTACCACTACAAACACTGCATTAGATCTGACAATAAAAAACAAAACAACAACCCTGAAATGTTATTTTATGATTGTTTAGCATTGTTTCAACCTAAATTTACTGATCATCTTGGCAATAAACATTCTTAAATATCATTTCATAACTTTTTGTATGACTACAGCTTTACTGTCACCATGCATAATCATATCATAGCTGCCATTACCCAATACTGAGTTATTATTACATGATGTTTATTTTCCTTCCTTCTTCTTGGTATTTTTACGCATTTTAAAAATTATTTTTGTGTTTTTTTGCTGTTGTTGTCTCTAAATTTATTTTTTTTTGAAGTCCTCCTTTTAAACGTTGGATAAAATTAGATACAAATATTGTAGATACGTGCTGAAAATTCCACACTGTACCACAAGTACTGTTTCTGGAATAAAGCAAATTATTATTATTAAAGATACATCCAGCTGATGATTTCTGTATAGAGTGAAACGCATGTCTTAGGTTTCACTGCTAGCCACTGTCAACCAAATAACATTAAGTTAACCCCAAAGCTCCGTTGAAGCGGCTGGAATAATTGCCGATGTTCCAGCAGGAGTCAAAGGATTTCTGTTCATTAAAATCAACGAATAAGTAATTCAAAATGTTTCGATAAATACAGAGGTTTTTAACAATGAATAAAATTGAAATTTCATGCTCTATATACTAAAACAACATGTCAGTTTATGGATAAATCCTATGCATATATGGCTCATCTGAAATGAAATTTAAACAGCTCTTAGTGGGTAATTAATCTTTCTTCACAAAAGAATTTAAGAAAGCGTATTATTATTCCTTTGGGTTTCTAGCGTAGAATAGGGCTTCAACAGCACACCTCCATTTCACTCTCTTCTTATCTACAGTCCTTTTAAGCTGGCTTCATGGTTGTTCATAACCTTTCATTTCCTCCTCACAAGATCTCCTCCATGTCAACTTCGTATCCAAGCCCAACTCGTGGTTTTCCATTTAGTTTTCAATCAACCTTTTTCTTCAGCATGTGCTCAGTTGACTTTCATTTCTATGGACATATTTGTTGTGCAATAAGTTCTTGTTTGGTTCATTACCGGAGTCCCTTATTGCCAGCACTTTCTTATCATCTGATTTTCAGGATCGATTCAGTGAAGGAAACTGTTGATGAAAGCCTGAAGCCTGTTGGTAATGCTTTTCGTTAAGCTTATGCTAAGTCTCTGAATTATACAGATGTTCAAACCTGACATCAGTGTTGAAAATCCAAATTTTATTCTTAGTGCTGTGTACTGTAGCCTTCCACACTGATTTCAGGTTAATAAAGGTCTGTTTTGCTTTTTTGATCCACGCCAGCATTGACATACTCATTTTTGCCACCTGTAGTTGAAACAATGTCACCTAGGTATGTATAAGAGAGGTGAATTCGTTCAAATTTCTCCCATAGTTGGTAACTGATGCATATTTTTCTTAGTTAGGTACCATCATCACCTGTGTCGGCTCTATGTTCACTGCTTCTTCTACAGATTTTCTAGTTTGTGCGATATTTAACTTTAATCGTCCGCGAAGTCTCAATATTTTAAAGTCCTATTGTCAGCCCAGTGTATTTCAGTATTCGAGCTCCTCAAGGTCTACTACGTGATCTTGTCCACCACAATGAGGAATAGTAATCAGCCTTGTCCTACTCCTGTCTTGACTTCAAAGTCTTTATTGAACTTTCCGTTGTCATTGACTTAGCATGAGGCATCATTATAGCCAAGAAAATACTCTAAGATAATTTGTTTTGCCTTACTAATCAAGTTTATTCTGTTCATACTGAAAGTTTGTCACTGGATAGAGTTGTTTATATTCATGGATAATCCCCATCAAGGCATTAATGAAAACAAAACACGTAGTTCAGCAAGTCTCTTTTCGGCGAATTCATTTTCTTAGCTGTACAATCTTAAATATATATATTGTTATTTTGTATGTATGGGTAAATTAAGTTCGCCAAACAAAATTACAATTGGTTATGGTTATTTCAACTAAACAGGTGAAGATTGGTAATTGGGGTTACGTAATACAAAATCGGTCAAGAAAATTGGGTTTTAATGAAATTAGGGTAGTAACAAAGATGATGAGTTGTTACAAACAGTTGTTAAAAAGAAGTTATGTAATAATATGAATAGTTTGATGATTGAGTTTTAATCAGGATGCACATAGGAAAGTAGCGAATTCGAAATTACGTAAGAGTGGCACAGCCGTTAGGACTCTCGCCAACCATGCACATGGTCCGGGGTTCGATCCCCTGCCTGCGCACACCTGATATCAATGGTTGGCCTGCAAAATTTGGGCTACCGATATCAAATGCTGAAAATTTCATACTTGTACCAAAAATACGGTGTGGAATCAAGCTATAATAAAAAAAATTAATACAAGAATTATAAGCAAATAAAGAAACAGGCAAACAAACAAAATTAAGTCATCAAAAATCAACGAATTTGTTACTATGACAGTAGATTTGGTTGAGTAATTCTCTTTCGTATACACAGCTCCGGTTTTTCTATGTGAATGGCCAGAGCTTCAGCAATACAGAAAAGACGAAACCGTATTGCCTTTGGTAGGTTATTCTTTGACTCTGTAGATTACTTTGAACGAGGTGTTTGTTGAGGTGGAATGATCAGTGTTAACTAGGTGTTCAATCAAAAAATTATCGCACTTCTTAGTGCAGCACTATTGCCTTTCCGCAACCATTCTGAGTAGTGTTCTTGAGTCCTCTTGGACAAGGTGCGCGTCGGACGACCAATGTACATGGCTCCACAGCAGCAGGTGAACTGATATAAGCACACAGAAGTGTTTAGATGCGGGATCTTGTCCTTGAGGATTCTGCAGATTAGTGGGCGAGTGGAGAACACTATTCTTAGAGTTGCTGCAAAGAGTGTTCTCAGAAATGATGTGATCCTTCTCTTGAGAATATCGCTTGTTAAATCTCCCTTGAAATCCAAGTTCATACACAGTTTCTTTTTAGGCGCAAGTGAAGTTTCATTTCTCCAAATTCTTGGTTTGATATTTTTGTCTATGAATCTTATTGGATATCCATTTTGGATGAAGATTTCTCTCAAAATATCTAATTCTGTTTCTAGAACATCGGAACTACAGATGCGTCGGATTCGGGTGGCAAGTGATTTAATTAAATTCCGCTTTTGTTAGTTGAACATTCCAAGTAGCTTTTCTATGGATCGATCTTCTTAGGCTTTCATCAGTTCTTCTTGTTAGTTCCACATCAAGAAACGGAATTTTTGATTCGTTTTCCATTTCAAGAGTGAATTTTATTGCTGGATGGCAACAGTTAAATGTCTTCAGCAGTAGATTGCGGTCATTATTGTTGTCACAAATAATGAATATGTCGTCCACGTATCTTTTATACAGTCACAATTTGTCAGTGCTCGGCCTTAGTGGACCTTTCTCGAGGCTTGCCACGAAGCAATCTGATAGTAGTGGACCCAACGGAGATCCCATTGCAATACCATCATTTTGTCTATAGATGGTGTCGTCGAAAGTGAACTGGACGTTCAGAGTGCATCTCAGTAGTAATTCCTTCAAATATGTTATAGATATTCCAATATTGAGATGGTTCTCATTTATATATTTCCATATAAAGCAGACCGTTTCCGTGAGTGAGACAGTGGTGAAAAGTGACTCAATGTTTAAGGAAAGCATAATTTTGTTAGATACATTCAGGTCTTGTATGCAGTCGATGAACTGGAAGGTGTCACGCAGCGAGTACGTACATAATTGTTTCCTTACAGGTTCCAGAATATCTGCCAGCCATTTTGCAATAGAGTGGTAAGGGGAACCTGACATATCCAGAATTGGACAAAATAGGAGACCAGCCTTGTGTACCTTTGGTAGACCATAAATTCTTGGTATTATTGAACGTGTTGGCCGGATCTGGTCATAGATATTGCCACTGATTAGTTGACTGACCTTCATTCTCTTCAAGACTCCTGTGAGCTGATTCTCAATCTGTTCCGTTTTGTTTCTTTCATTTGAAGGTTGGGAAAATTTATATTCATTACACAGTATATTGTTCATTTTCTCGATGCAGCCTTTTCAATCCAGAAGCACGTACACGGGCACCCTTGTCGGGACGAGTTATTAGCAGGTCTTTGTTATCTCTCAACTGTTTTAATTCTCCTCGGTGCCGCTTTGTTAGGTGGTTGCAGAATTTTGATTTTTTATTCAAGTATTGGTGGCAGCAGTCGATGATTGTTGACTTGAATCTCTGTAACTCGTTTTAAGAAGTTGGGATGAGATCGTTTGTTTGGCTGATTAGATTTTCAAACTGGACATGAGTATGAAGTTTGTCGGCGTTGAAACTGATATCGCAGAATTTTGGGCCCAGAGAAAGGACTTCTGGTTACACGTTGGTTAAAGGTACTGAGGCATAATTGAGCACAAATTTTGTGGGTTCGTCAGGAAATTTGCCGTGGGGTTTCATCTGCTTACGGCTGTTGTTTAGCTGGGTTACGGCAGACTGTGACCGTTTCTTTGCAACTAAGTTGATATGTTCGGTGAATCTTTTTCATTCGTTCGGAATCAATTCGTATTGGGCAGGGGATCTTTGATTAATATTCCGCTGCAGTTCGGGCATACGTGATCTGATAGAATCAGTACAATTCACTGCATGACATCGAAGGTACTTAGTATTTGGATATGTATGATATATAGAGTTGTTTATAGTTCGTTTAGACTTAAACGAAGGAATCATCATTCTGACAGCTTAATATAAAGCAAAGATTTTGTCTCAACAATAGAAGCTTACGATACTTAACAATTACTTAACGGAATAAAGTCATCATACCTAGCAGCATAACATTCCTAATAACCACTAGTCAGATTTATTAATAGCTGATTACTATGGTTCCATTTTTCACTCTCTTGAACAATATTTTATCATGAACTGTTGATATATTCACTCTTTTTCAGTAGTATTATAAATTCATCAAAATAAATCAGTTCAAACTTCTGATAATATTATATTCATATTTTTTTAAACATATTTCTAATGGTTCATTTTAGGAAGATTTATGAGCGAATTTTGGAATCAACCAGAATACATAAGAAATGAAAAATCAAATGATATTTGGTATGTTTCAAACTATAAATGGTACAAAATACTTTAGGAGCTACATTTAACGATGAAGCACTAACTGCACACTGAGTAAAGCTTAAGCTATTTGAATTGCGAAATATACGCACTAATTCATTAGGAGAAATACAGTCCTTTGTTCAGCGAAACGACTTAATTTTCAAGCAGCCGTACAGCTGTATTTATATTATGGAAAAAGAAGGCATTAATTGGCACAAGAAATTGCTCAGTAAATATTGCATATATTATAAGAATAAAGATAATGAAAACGGTGTATTAGGAAGGTAGACTTGAAGCGAATGACTTAAAAATTCTTATTATTTTCATATTATCATTGTTTCCTTTAGTTCCTAGAGGAACATAGGGCTTCAACTGCACGTATCCATTGCGTTAGGTTCTCCGCGAACGTTTCCATCTAGATCCATGTCCGCTTACATGCTTCCATCTCCTCTTCACATCACCTCCTACATGTCACCCCAACCTCACACTGACAACCAACTAACTCGCCACTTCCCATTCAGGTTCCACTCGAGAGAGAGACAGAGAGCCTGTTGTGTCATGTCACTTGATGATTTGTTTTCTCAGCATATGGCTAATCGAATCCACCTCCATTTCTTCCTGAATATTTGTTGTACAATTGGTTCGTGGTGTGTTGGTTCGCTCCGTGAGATCCCTCACTCTTGCTGATTGTTTCTGGCCGGCCATCTTATCTTGATGAGGTAATTAAATAAGTGAATTAGTGTTAAGATTTTAAAATTGTAAGTCAAGTGTTGTCTAAAAAATTAAAAGTGCGATGATGATAACAGTAAAGACGGTGAAGATGAATTGAAGTGAAATGATGAATTCAAGTGGTAGAATAAAAATAAAATAAAAGAACATAACTGTGACCAAGGTAAAAAAAAGGCTTTTAACAAAACGTTTCTGAACGTATAATTTAAGTTTCTGTCCATGTATAGCTAGAGCTTCGGCTATGCATAAGCTGTAATCGAAAATTAAAATAAATTAATAAATAAAAAAACGTAAGCTTTTGGACTGATTGTATTCGGTCCTGTGGATAACTTTAAAGGATAAATCATGTGAGGCTGAATGAACTGACTCCAGAAGGTGTTCACAAATTGAAGACTTTGACATCCTATGCTCACCTTTCATTAACCAAACTGGGTAGTGTTCAGCTGCGCGTTTACGGAGAACACGCTCACAACATCCAATGTAATCAGCTCCATACAAGCGTGTGAATGAGTACATGCATATACAGGTGGACACTCATTGACTGACGACACCATGTTTTGGTTTGACCACCACTAGCTCTTTTCTAACTTAACCGTATGTCAGCAGCTAACATTGCCCGTCGAGGAAGGCGATCGCTAGACACGCATGTGTGACACATGTCCTAACCATCTCGATCGGTGTAACTTCACAACCTCATCGATTGATTTCCCTACTACATATCCTGCTGATCGAGTAGTTGGATATCACTCACATCAATAAGTAGTAACTGCTAACCAGATTGAAGTTATCTAAACAATGAACAGCCTTTTCGCTGGTCTGAGCCAGAGCTCATCATCAAACTACTAGTACTAATTAATCAGTAGTATACGGCATCATGCATTTATATTTGCTTTACTCATTGTCACTAATGGTGTCAAGCAGGTCACATATATAGTCTTCTGCATAATTTCGCTTTCCAAAAAAAATGTGGCGAAATTTCACATTAATTTGTAAGATATGCCTTCATCAGCCTGAAATCAGTTTAGAAATCTCCTGCACTCCACCTTAGCATAAAGAACAAGATTCAGATTTTCAACATATAATAATAATAGTATATTCTCATTTTTTACATGAGGGACGCCAGTTTACAGGCATCATCAATATGATAAATTACATATACAATTAGTAAGCATATTTAATAATAGTAATTTAATAAAATACATTTTTTCCTACCTGTGTAGGACACACCAATTGTACAGTCATGGATAAGTATTATTTAAATTACATAAATTTGGTTCATGGTTAAATAATGTGGTTGCAGTCATTTTTTCTATGGTAACAATATGATAACTAGTCATTCAATGGAGCACATCAAGAAATATAGAAATATTGTCTTCGCGTTAACAAAAAAAACCCAAGTATGTTTTGGATGGATTACAAATACTTGGGAAAAAAATAAAGCTTGAAGTAATTCCTCCATATAACTTTGGTGTGTACGGCATCGAATCTTATTCTTGATTTATATCCAAATTTGATAATAATTTAAAATAAGTAATCCACTTGTATACTTTTGTCAGCATTTTCTTCGTAACATCACAAGTGAATAGTACTCAATGTAGACTAATAATAATGACAGTTTATATTTTCTTATAAACGGGTGTTTTCAAGAAATGCAAGCTATGTGAAGTCAATGTGAAGTCAGTCAGTTCTTCTACACCGGTCAGAAACTTGTACTGCGCTACACGAAAAGGGTTTCTAAAAGGGTACTACAAACTTTTATCAACAGCTGCTCCGTCGCTGGCTCCACATTGAAGATCAGATGGCCAGAAACAATAAGCAACAAGAAATTCTGACTGAAAATTAACCAACCAAGAGCCAATCGCTCTACAGACATGTAGGAAAAAATTGAGATGGATCGAGGAAACATTGGGGAGGATGCCGAATGACATCGCACTCAGTGCAAGCCATCACTCGATTGGAACCCAAATGGGGAACGACGAGTAGGCCGTCGGTACGAGGGTGACATGGGGGAGATGGTGTGAGAGATTATGGGCAATCGTAGACCCAGCTAAGTGGACAGCAGAGGAAAGAAGAAAGTGGAGGTGTGTTGCTGAAGCCCTTTGTCCCACTCGGAACCCAAGAGAACAGTAATATTTCATTAAATGACTGTTTCATCATTAAACGATTCAAAGCAACCCGACATGAGTTATCTGAAGCTGATTCATGCCTTTTTACTAATCAGTATTGCATTTGTTCCTGTATGATACATTTTGCTTAACTTTTTACTTGTGTGTATTCCAGCTAGACTTACTCTCATAATTTTAATATTTCTCATAACGGTTTTTTTCTTTTCAGTACAACATTAACTATGAAAGAAAGGGGTATTTACAAGCCAATTGAATTTATAAAATGTCCGAAAGCAATCAAGGAGGAAAAAGGTTACTATTTTGAAACACTTTTAATTGTATCCTTTTTTAAACATTTAACTTGAAAAAGTTTATTTGTAAGGACTAGATTTGTTTTCTACGAGTTAGGGCACTGATTGATATCAGTTGGAGAACCATTGAAATTCACCAAGGAGTACTGGGCAGCTATTTCATCCTAGTTTGGGAATCATTAGCAGTAAGCACCCCACTGAGGCTCGCATCCAGTACCTTTAGGTTACAAGGCAAGCTCATATACCATTCACACACTGGGATCCGATTCAATGACCAGTTCACGAATTCTAACTTCAGCCAATTCGTGATTTAGCGTGACCACCAACCAATGTGAACAGTGGGAACTCCATCCTCACACTTGACTGGATGGACCTCACTGGTCACGACTTCTCACATATTTAACATTTATTTATCATGGAGAATATAAAGATTTATCCACCAAAATACGGGTTAATGTAAACAAAGTTATCACTAGTTTGCCGGTAGCTAGCAGCAGAATCCAGGACTGATATTTCATGGTGTCCCAGACTTGTCATCTGGATGCACCTACCCTCAGGTAAGTTACAATGCTGACACTGAGGCATAAACCCAGCAACTACTGCTTCAAACACCAAAGAGTTATTTCATCGACTACTAGCCTGTATTACAAAACATAGTTGATCAGTTCACTTCAAATATATCAAAGGGGGAAAACACAAATAGGAATAACTAATTTCAATCAAGGTTATATTTTGAAGCAAATATAAATAGATATTATTGTTATTGTTCCCTTGAATTCCTAGTGGAACATAGGGTTTCAACTGCACGTCTCCACTTGCTTCTGTCTTCTGCTAAACTTTTCACCTGCACCCATGTTAGTCCATACTGTTTCAACTCCTCTTCACACGATCTCCTCCATGTCACCCTTGCACTGACGTCCCACTCGCCACTTCCCTTTCGGGTTCCACTCGAGCACTGGCCTGACGCGCGATGTCACCCAGCGGCCCCCTCAGCTCAGCGAGTGTCCAATCCATCTCCACTTTTTCCTGCATATTTGTTGGGCGATTGGTTCTTGTTTTGTTTGTTCCCATATCTTCTTATTGGTGATTTTTTCCGGCCATCTGATCTTCAGTATAGAGCGAAGACAGTTGTTGATAAAGGTCAGCAACAGGCTGTTGGAAATATTCTTTGTGACCCGCCGCCAAGTTTCTGATCCGTATAGAAGAACCGATTGACGTTTGTATTGAAAATCCGAATTTTGTTGTTGATGCTGAGTGACGAGGATTTCCAGATTGATTTCAGTTTGATGAATGTGTTTCTCGCTTTTCCGATTCTCGATTTGACATCCTCGTCCGTTCCTCCTGTAGTTGAGACAATGCTCCCTAGATAAGTGAATGAAGTAACCTCTTTCAAATCCCTCCCGTTGATGGTAATTGGCGTTGGATGTTGCTGTTGTTGTTGTCGGTTCGTTGGTTGGTTATTTTCATAACCTCCGTCTTGTCTATGTTCACCTGGAGTCGTGTCTTTGCTGCTTCTTCGACTGTAGTATTATGAATTGGCTTTCTGAGATTTAATTTGATGAAATAGCGCATACAGCGAATTCACAATGAAAGAAAAAGAATCCAGTGGAGGAAAGCATCTTATTCGGTTGTGAGTAACAAAAATGATGCTCTGCTTGACTGATGATGGCTAGCAGTGGATATGCAATTGTCGCATTTTATCCTATTTTAGAATCGTTAACCTAACATACTTGTCAGGAATGATGTTCCTATTGAAACTTGAACGCAAGACGTGTTGTTCTAAACGTCTTCAAATGTTTTATCATTAAACTATTTAGATAATAATGATCTATATAGATGAATGACTAGTTAGTTATTCAGTCGGTTAAATAAACAATAAGTAAGGATAGTTTTAGTTCATCTCTGGTAGGATTTAAAGAGTGCAGATCCCATGGGGTGAAACCCAAACTGGAAATGAATAAATAAATAAATCCTAGACGTTTCATTTAATTCATTTCATTGACTTAGTGTTCCTGTCTCAAAGCTTTTGAAAAAGAGTCATACGTACATTCGGTTACTTCAAATATAACAAATGTTTTATACTGTTATCAATCGTAGGTTTAATCTCATCAGAGTGCACTAATACGGATGCATCAGCAGTGCCAACAAAGCCACACAGAGGAAATTTGTCTACACGAAATAGGCGGAACACTTATCTTACAGAAAGGAATCAAGAATTATCTGAATTAATCAATCTGGTTGCACCGTATGAACCTCTAATGGATGATTTAGCAATTATTGGTGAGAAAGTGTTAAACAATGAAGTCAAGTGAGTCATAAAAATATCTTTAAATAAACATTCTACACTGAGACCGAGCACTTCAGTCCCGTCAATCGACGGGAAAATCTAAAAGTGAATTGAATAATTAATATGATCCATTGCACAAGAAGTGGCCAGATTTCGTGACCCAAGTGGTTTAGTGGATAACGCTTTGGCGTTTGAAATTATGGGCACTGGGTTCGAGCATCGGTGGGAACACGATCAGTCACTAAAGAATGCAGACACACCTGAATGGTGAGTCCCAAATAGGACGAAGCGCGCATCGTGGATTCCACTGAGAGTTACCATCCACCAGTTAACTTCTAATCATATGCCCAGATATCGTCAAAGCATCTGCACAAGAAGCTGACTTGTCACCCTGAGACCGGGCACTTCGGTCCAATCAATCGATGGGAAGATCTAAAATTCAATTAAATATTCTACACTTTGGTGATGAAAACTAAATAAATGACCGAGTTGAATATATATATGTATAACATATCATACATACATATATATGATAACAGAAACGTCTTCTGATAAAATTTCTCGGTGGAAAGAAATACCTGTTAGTTTTTGGTGTAGTTGTGTTCTCTGGGCTGGATGATTTCTTTGAAAAATTTTCATTGTCTTACGAGGCTACATCTTCAGAGCATACTTCATCTTGCAGTGAACTTTTGAAATTCTCTACGAGTTTATTAGTTAACTCTCCTGGCAAGCTTGAAAGTGACTGGTTGTTTCCAGTCAATGCCAATACAAGTAGACTTGTGGATGTGAAAACGCACAAAAGCGACCAATCGCTGTCAAGATTACCAGGACAATTGCCTCCAAGTTGAAGTGTGCTTTGAGGAGATAAAGTAATGAAAACTTTGCGACTAAATTATTTGACTCAGAAAACACGACTACATCAAAGTCATCTATCTGAGGTACGAATCTTCTCTATTATATCTAATACTTAACAGATCATTAAATCACTGATTGCTGCGCTGAAACCATAAGAATTCCCTCTGTAAAAGCTAAACAGATGATCATCATTTTTTTATTTAGGAAAATTACGTTAACTAGCAAAGTTGAGATTGTCTCTTTGGCAAACTTTAGAGCATATCTTTTGTTTCCAAATGTTTTTCTTTGATGTTGTCAGCTTTTAAAGCTTAAGAATGAGCACATTTTAGCATTATCTAAAAGTTGATTAACTTTGGTAAAACCTGCTTACATATAACGTTTATATTAAGTATTATTTCCACGCTTAAAACGTTTAGTGTAATATTTTGTTAATGTAGGTGAAATAGGCCACAATAGTGCAACAAACCGGTTGAACTTTTGCGATAAACTTACAACAGCGTATGTTGCTAAATACTATGAGTTGAAAAGAAAAGAAAAACTTCAAATGAATTAATCTTAATCTTATTTCCTATGAATAATATTCAGTTATTTTTCTCTCAGATTCTAATATGATTATTAATGTTGACAAATAGAATGAGTTGGTGATAAGAAACGGCTAAAACTGAAATCAACATTCACAGTCACTGATCGCTGGAGTGTATTCCTACCACTATTTGAAAAGGATAGTTCTATCGGAAAAGTTCATGCTTTATTTGAACAATCACAGTAACCTGTTTGTCCCTGACCTAGTGCTCTAAAAGTGCATATACATATATACGTATACCTCACTAGCCAGAACCTATCCTGTTCCCGTTTATCGGATAGCATGCTCTTCGGTGCAATCAAAGCTTGACAGATGCCCTTCTCATGTTAACCCTAACTGTGAATACAAATTTACATGGATCTGTGGTAGTAGTTACATTAGGAGAATAGAAAGAAGAGAACGGCTTCAATTTTTTTAGCAAAAATATTAAAAAGCCTACGACTCAAGAGGATAAACGTTTACAATAGTGCTTTACCAGACATCTCGTCAGTGCATGTTATAAGGTGGACATTATGAAGCAGTCTCTATTAAACGTCTGAAACCCAATTTACTTGTTCAGAAAGAAATACTTATCAGTATTCATTTGCCCGAGCAACTAAGTATATTTACTTTATGCCTTTTATTTGATTACGCAATCTTTGGCTTTAGCTTCTCACCAATTTAATATAGTCGAACTTAGCTTATCTCGTGTTTCTATGATTTTGGCTGAACTCATCACACTGTTACTCAGTTTATTAGCTACTCACAATCTTATTCACCTCGTGTCTTTAATGCACAACTCTTTTGCCAGTGTCTCCAGGCATTTATTTCTGTTTAAACTTGAGCTATCTGGGTATAAACTATGTAAGTTTAATTCACGAGCACTGCTTATTAAGTTTGGTGTCTCCCATCAACTGACATAATGTAACATTTGCAAGTATGTTAAAATTGTTCTATACATAAGCTTGATGAGTCCTTTAGGATGTGCGCAACTGATGAGGAGTCAAAAAATACTTGATAGTACCATCTTACTCCACATAAACGGTTGTTCTCGCTTCATCCAAATATATATATATAGGATTTATTTTGTCTAGTAAATTCTTGATACTTCTGCGGTCACAAGGTACTGAGACGAAGTATATTATTTGGTATTTTTTTATTCCTTTACGTTCCCACTGGAACATAGGGCTTCAAGCTAGAGGCTTGAAGTTTTGATAGCAGTGTTTATTTTTACAGGATGATGTTGCTAGCCTCATGACCAACTTTCCTTCTTTACAAGTCTTATTACTGGCTTAGCGAGGTAAAGGAGTGCGTCGGCCGGGGATCGAACTCCGGACCACTTGTTCGGTATACTGTTAAGGTATCTAGT